CTTTGCCAAATTTTATCGAGATCGGCTAAGATTTACATATAGCTCCCATATAGCTCCGCAGGGAACAAATCAATGCGAATAATCCGTTGTAAAGTGAACCGAGCCATGCCCAACTGCTGAGAACGGCGTTTTTGGGATGTTCTTGGGGACCTCTCAACACTGGCTCGTACGGCAGCGATATTCTCGGCCGATCGCCTTGGTCGACTTTTATATGGCCTCTTCGGATTCTTAGAAGGCGCACTTCTCACATTTTTTAATGTTTTAAAAGCACGTTGAGTTTTCACAATTGACTTCTTCTGTTGGATGTAAATTTCAACTATTTCAGAGCGCTCGCGTGGCGTGTATTGGTTCATGGTAAAAATAAGCTTGGACTGACGCTTCAAATGCGGTATGTCATTAAGCGATGTGACATCTCTGTCAAAAGTTATGGCGTTGCCAGATGGGTCCGTCGAATATGGGCAACACTGTATATTCTTATATATACTCCTTCTCGAAGTGATATCATGCCCTCTATAGCCAATGTTATTTGGTATAAAAGATTAAAATGTCTCCGTCAAATTTAGTGAAAATCGATACAAAATTAGATATGCCTCCCATATATTAGTTCCCTCTCAAACCAAACTATAACTGCTCTAAAGCCAAATGTTGATAGGTGGCATGATCTACATCATATACATTCTTTGGTTACGGGAGCTATACTAAATATCCATATTGGTGTAGGCTATATTATAGTCGGGCGGGGCTCGACTTTTGAGCTTTCCTTACTCTGTTTTCAATTACCAAATGAAAATTGAAAAATTTTGTTATGACATTTATTTTTAATTTCATATTTCAATTGAACAAGAATCCGGTGCTCTTCAATTTTTAATGCATATAGAAGAAGCAGTAAATTTATTAAAGATTTTTTTCTCAGTGCACTTCACGACTCATGCACTTCATAATCCATCGATCCATCCATGTTAACTCTCGCAGCTACAAGATAGATAGCAAGCAAACGGCAGCAGATATCTTGTTCTTCATTAAGAAAGGCTTAAGCGCAATCACGGACAGGCTGGACACTTAAATCCGCAAATGGTTTCAAATCATAATAATTTTGAAATTCGGAATTTGCTTTTATGGTTTGGCGGAATTTTAATCAAAATTCAAAAACGCTTAAAAATGTCATAAAAATATGTGAACAGAAATATGCCTGCTTTTCAATTGGCGGAATACGAATTGTAAATGCAACGTTTTGAAGTGTAGCCAGTTTTTTGTTGCTAACACCAGCATGTTGTTTTTGTTGCTCTTGTTAATTGGTGGCTGTGTTGTAAGGCCAATAAAAAAAACAAGAAATCATTAAACTAGTTCAATTCTAAAGGAAGGATGGATGGATGGTTGGTGGAAGGCAGTAGGCTCGAATGGTTAAGGCTTGTCTGTCTCTCAGTTGGAATCATAAGATCAAAGGCATTACAATTTCGTAATGTCTGCCTGTCGATGCAGTGCTGAGATATGGCATTTGAAAAATTAATTAATTAACTTTTAATGAACTGACAAGTGAAGTTAATTAAGGCTCGAACTCATGAAAAGGTAATTCAAGATTTCGATCTACTGATAAAAATTATAATTGGAAAAATAAGAAAAAAATGAGACATTGAAGACAAATTTTCAAGACATGCAACCAACACTTGGTACTAATGGTATAATTATTGGGCGATTGCTCCCCTTGTGATATGTTAATGATGGCAATTTTTACCCCACATTAGACTTAAAGGAGGCCTAACAATGCATGTTCTATTCATTGAAAGTTGACCAACAGAGCCAAGGACCACATGCCTTCATCAACAATGAAGCCGTTACGAAACCTAACCTGAAACTGCCATTTCAAGCCACGCTTAACATTGTCATAGATTTCTTAATATTATCCCCTCTACTACCGCTACTACAAGTGGACCTCCATTTCCATATACAACAAGTAAAACCTTTTTACTCCATCCTAAAATAGTCCATTGCATTTGCAATACAGCATCGTTTGTTTGCAGTTTTTGGTTCGTTCGTTACGACCATAAACAGTTGTGGGGTATTAATTGTCAAGACATGAGGTGAAAATCAAATAAAAGCTAGAAATGAAAAAAAAAAAATGGAAACAGAATCGTGATGTTAAAATACTTGGAAGTGTACAAATAGTTTGCACCTAATTATCATAAAACCATAATGATTGGCGACGGGTGAGACAGACTACAAATATCCATATTGCGAAAGGTTTCTTTAAATGGTATCGAAGTCTAATGGAAAAATGGTAACGTTAAATGGAAGTAAAAGAAGTAATAGAAATAGTATCATTTCAAAGCTTTTGGGGAATTGGCGCAAACTTATTTTACAACAATCAAATTGGAAACGGCATAAGACAAGATGTATTTTTACATAATTAAAAATAAACCATTATTTAACATCATCTCGAAATTTATTTTCACTGATACAAATATTAATATTCTGCTGAATACGTCAAAATACCTAGAATTATTCAATACTGTTAAGGTGGGAATACATAAAACGTTTTTTTGACTGGCTTAAGTTATCGGCTGGCTTCTTCGTAGAGGAACAAAGGAATTTTAGGTTGACTTAGTTCGATTTTGGCCCTACACTCCTTTCTTTTTTTCCGAAGCGTTTTATGTCTCACCTGTATAGAACAAGATAGATTCACCAACGCTTGGAATCATTGATATGTCAAAATGTTTTTTTTTCATATATAAATATATTTTTTTTTTGTTTTCTTATACGACATTAATCGGAGGTTATTATAATATCCGTTTTCAAAATTTATTACAAATTTGAATAATTTTTCCATGGTAGAACTAAAAACAACATCTAACAACATCTCATTGTCAAAATGTTTATTCATAAATCCACTATATACACACAAATCCGGGAGGGGAACCTGTTTTCTATCCCGTTAAATTTAACAAGGTAAACTGCTGAAAATGCAGAGCTGGTAATGCTTATTTGAGATCAGATTACCTTAATATCATTGTACCATAAATGGTTCATTCAAAAATTTCAATTCCAAAATTGGTTTGACATTTCATTGTCCCAACAGCTATGTCGATGCGTCTCCTTGTATTCTTCTACCATGCTGTTATGTAGGGTCTATTGTTATAAGTCCACTTAGAGAACCCTACAATATATCAGCTAGTTACTTTTCCTGCGCGAATTTTTCTGCTTTGTGTTTAATGTTTCTATCACCTTTTCTACCCTCCACCATACCTAGTATGGAGGATATATTAAGTTCGCCATTCCTAACAAAGTATATATAGGGTGAGATGAAAAAACAACCAAATTCAGACTACTGTCATTTCTTAGCCACTCGTCCGACAGCGGTTATTCCAGTGACATTTTGTTATATTGTTCACAAGCGCACAAAAGCATGTTGATGAGAATTTTCCAGAAAAAAAGTTATTAGTGATGGAACTCAAGCTTAAAAGTGTAATTTTTTGATATTTGGCTGGAAAACCACAAGTCGCAATCGTTAGAGCACTCCAGCATTTAAATGTGAATAAATCTTTTGTGTCTCGTACCATCGCTCGTTACCGTGATACAGGTAGCGTGGCCCGACGTCAAGGAAGTGGACGGAAGAAAACAGCAACATCAGCAGAAATGGTTCGAAAAGTAAAGAAGCGACTTGATCGAAACCCGCGTTGCAGTGGCCGAAAAATGGCTCGTGAGCTGAACATATGGCAATATTCCATTCGGTAAATATTAAAATATGAGCTCGGGGTAAAGCCATTGAAATTCCAAAAAGTGCAAGAACCGAACATGGTTTTCACCGATGAGAACATTCGTTGTCCAGCAGTTTGTAAACAAACAAAATTATCGTGTTTACTTGCCAAAGAGGTCAGCTGAAAATGTGCACCGTCGGTTGGCCACCAGAACTCTAGCTCCGGCCATGGTGATGGTGTGGGCCGCCATTGCAGCCGATTGTCGCTCTCCGCTCGTATTAATCGACCGTGACATCAGAATAAATTAATATTCTGGAGGGTGTATTAAGCCTTGGGCACACAAACATTTTGGCGCAGACCTTGGACATTTCCAACAGAACTCAGCACCACCCGAGAATAGTTACCAAATGAGGTTCCTCGCTTTATTTATTTCCAGCGCACAATGGCCACCAAAATCTCCGGATACCAATCCCTTCGACTATTGTGTCTGGAGTATTTTGGAAAGTTGGCGCTAAAAAATACCAAAGTGTCGATCACCTCAAGCAATCGCTTCGCCGGGAATGGGCCAAAATACCGCAGAGCAACATTCGGGCAGCGTGTGACGGTTTTATTGGCCGTTTGAAGGCCATAATTCGTGCCAAAGATGACCAATTCGAACAAATCTAAACTTATTCTAAAATTTGATGCTATTTCCGACATTTTTTGCTTTCATTCAAGAAATTTCAAAAAAAATTAAAAATTGTGGTGTTTAACTTTGTTGCAGTTTTTTTTTATCTCACCCTGTATATTCTTGATCAGTTTAAGACGATTTAGCCCTTTTCACCCGTCCGTCTCTTGTAATGACGCTAGAGTCAAAACGAATTAAGATAGGAAGCTAAAATTTTGCGCAGATTAGTTTTTTGTCTACAGGTAGGTCAAGTTCGAGGATGGACGTATTGCTTCCCTATAAGGGTAGCCCCGATATCCGGTATTTTTATGATTTCATTCACATTTTCAATGGAATTGTCTGAAATTCTACACACGGAGTCCTTTGTGAGCAGATTACTCCCTGGAAGACTATGGTCTATATAGGTCAACGATATCGCATATGCCCCCTATAATGGTAGCTCCCTATATTCAGTATTTTGAAGTTTTTAGCTACATTTTGCAATTTTAACGGGTAATCAAAGTTTGGCCCGTCCAAATCCTTCCTTCTTTGTCTTAAATCTTATTTTGTACTCACGACTCAACCAGAAAGGTTGCTCAACTTCAAGAATATGTTTAAAGGGACAACTACAGTTAATAATTTCTCATTTCTTCCCTTTTCAGATATATTTCTATCCTTCACCCCAAGAATGTCCAATTCCGGCCCGTACAGTGATAACACTCAAAATGGTTATGGCAGCAGCAGTAGCTATGGTTCAAATTTTCTCCAACCACCGGGAATGAATGATCGATTGCCTAGCATTCAATCGAGAAGAAAATTTAGTTTTCCCGCAACTCTGCATTCCGCCAATTTGTTGGAAGTTAATCAAATTTCAACTCGACGGCGTTTAAGCAACGTTAGTGATGTGGTCACAAGAAAGCTGTCCTACACCATTGGTTGGAAGGGTGCCCAGATACCAGCCCAGGAAATTGTCTCACAGGGACGTTGCCTTTGTGGTCAATACATTAAACGACGTTTGAGACGATCTGGGCTGTTCAATAAAAAATTGGGATTGCAAAGGATACGAAGTATTTTGGGCACCTCCACCATGTCGGTGGTGCGTGAGGTGTTCCCTGCCGTTATGGTGGTAAGCGAAGTGATTTTTAACGAAGATTTCCATCATTAAAAATGTTTTCTATTTTGCATCTCCAGCTAGGTGATGAGTTGGAACGCATGCATCCTCGCATTTATACCGGAGTGGCCCGTCAAATTTGTCGCAATCCTGGTGGAGAATTTCAATCTGCCGACACTGTCATACTTTTGGTTAGTGCTGTGGCTCGTGAACTATTTCGTATGGAAATTACGTGGAGTAAAATAGTCTCATTGTTTGCCATCGCTGGAGGTCTGTCTGTTGACTGTGTTCGCCAAGGACATCCTGAATATTTGCCGAAATTAATGCAAAGCGTTTCTGATGTCATTGAAGATGAATTGGTGCCTTGGATTAATGAAAATGGTGGATGGGTAAGGAATTCAAGGAATGTCCTCGTTGTGATGATCTTTTCCAGATCCTGCAAGTTTCTAGTAGACTTACAATTTTTTTTCGATATAATAAAGAAAAAATCGGTTATCGTATAAATAAGTTTTACATTCTTGCAGTTCTGGAACGGAGCATCTGTTGAAATCGTTTCTATAAAACCGTTAAGATTATTTTCTACACAATTCCTCTGTATTTTTTTTTTCAGGTTGGCATTAACAATCACGTACATCCGGCAACCAATAAACTGAATCCCTTGGAATGGACCACAATTATTGTTGGCAGTATTTTTGGTTTAGTATTAATTTATATGTTCATTAGATTTCTTGTTACTAATTTAGTACCAAAAGTGTATGAGAGAATTACAGCAGGTAAATAAATAAAACTGTTATAAAAGCTGTTATACTATTATATGCAGAGTTGTAAAATATTTAAAAATAACGGCTATGGTGAGTTATACTTGATCATTTGAAAGCTTACACAAGAAAGCTTTTTTAAATGCCGAGAAGTGTTGCCAATTTACCATTTATAAAAAACGCTAGAAAAGTCGGGTTTTGCAATACATTGTGGAGTGGTGTTATATAAATTGTCTAAGAAGAAGTTTAATTATTTAAATTTATCAATATGTCATATGTAAGGATAATTATGTGGAATATATTTTTTACTCTTAGAATAAAAAAATTAATAATATTAGAAAATTGTTACCATTGCAGATTTATTTAAAAATTATGCATTTGACAACATTATCAAAATGTATAGGGCTATTGTATATACCGAAATCATAGATGGGAACCTGATTTCTATGCATTTAAATTTGACGAGGTAAATGTAGATCTATATATACTTATTTGAAATGAGATTACACAGCCAACATTTTTTCCAAATTCAGAAAATAATTCTGCAGAAGTTTCCCATTCTGATGTCGAATTCGGAACATTTTAATCTTTTATACCAAATAACATTGCTGTATAGTGCATGAGGAGGATTATATTAAAAAATATATATCGGAGCCGAGTTTCACAAAATGGAAGCTTACTTCCCGAAATGCACTCAATTTGGGCTGATATAAGCCATTATTTGCAAAATAAACCTGAAATCGGATTAAGTATATATATGGGAGATAATCTAAATCTTAGCCGTTCTCGATAAAATTTGGCAAAGGTATTTCCGGGCTTTATAAGATATCGGGTACCAAATATCATTGTTGTCGAATGTATACTACGAATGTGAAGGACTTAAAGACCAAATCGTATGACACATATATATAGGAGCTATAGCTATATCTGAACCGAATTTAACGTACTTGCTTCTAGACTGAATTCGGCCGCATATGCCAAAATGCTGGTCATTTGGACTGATATTGGCTATTTGGTGCACAGAGCTATTTTTAGCTCCAAATATCATTGTTGTGGAGTGCATATTACGCATGTGAGGGACATAAAACCACAAATCGGAAGAAACATATATATGAGAGCTATAGCTATATCTGAACCGATTTTTGAAGCACTTGCTTCTAAACTGAATTCTGTCAGATGTGCCAAAATTCAGGTCATTTGGACTGATATTGGCCATTTGGTGCCCAATTAATCTGAAATCTGTTGAAAATATGTATATATGGAGCTATATCTAAATTTGTACCGATTCTCATCAATTTCAATGGGTTCGTCCTTGGGACAAACAAATCTTGATTGGAAAAATTATCTCAATCGGATAATAAATGCGACCTGCATTTTGCTCACAAGAATATATGGACAGACGGACGAACGAACTAACACACATAAATCGACTCAGAAACTGTTTCTATAAAGATCTTCAAAAGTAAATATGGGTCTACCTGCCTGTCTGCTGGCTGGCGCAAACGATAACTATCGAAGGGAGTATCCGATTTGGTCCAAATTTGCTACAGCGTAATATTATTATCAAACTTAGATCGAGTTCGGAGATGAGATATATCGGTCCAGTTCTTCTCGTACCTCCCTCGCAAAGGGTGAATATTTTGAATATCCATAAAGCTCATAAAACGCGAAATTAATATCCGATTCCATTCAGACTTGGCACTTCTCAATATTTCTATCAACATAAGATCTATTATAAAGATGGTAGAGATAGAACCATTCTTTCTGGTACCTTTCCTACAAAGGGTCAAAGTTTTGAATAACCGAATGTTTTAAAATTCCGAAATAAGCATCGGACTATTTCTTATGGTACCTCCCCACAAATGGTCAAATTTTTTCTGTTACCTCCCCCACATAGGGTTCAAGATTTTGATCCAACTATCTTCAAATTTCACATAAACAAACATTTTTGTTGTGAAGATGATACATATCTGCAAACCCCTTCTGGTATCTCACCCACAAAGGTTCACAAAACCTGGGTGAATATGGAATTTATCATTTCGCATGAAATTGGATAAAATGTTCGATTTTCTTGTAATTTTGCCCATACCAATATTTTTATCTGTGCTAGATGAGGTGTGAAAATTGAATACTTCACGCATATTTTAGTATTTTCCAAAAATATAGGAAATTTTCGATATTGTCCACGATATGGCACGTAGTAATATTTATATCAATATTGGCCCATTCTTTTGGAGCCTCCCCCACAGAGGGTCAACATTTTGAATAACCGCAGCGCAACACAACAAACATGCGCTGAGTGTACACATCTGGTCAATATTGGCCAACTCTTCAGAACCTCCCCTATTAAGGGTCAACAGTTTGAATAATCATAACTCAAGCCTGGGGGTATACATCGGTCGGCAAAACCGACTGATACTATTTCCCTTGTTTTACCTGTATTAGGAACCTAACACACATTTTAACATTTTCTAAAAGTTTTCAAATATCTCATTCAAAGTGAATATAAATGAATATATAGTTAAAACCTGGCACCTCGCAATATTTATATCATATTTATTTAGGTCCGATACGAAATATTGCCCCATTCATTGGGAACTTACTCCACAGAGGGTCAAACATTTGAATAATCATAACAAACGTCAAAATAAATTTAAATAACCGAACATCGATTGAGGGTATACATCTGACGGCAAACCCGACTGATACTTTTTTTAACACTCTTTCAAATTCCAGCTCAGATGTCTTTCCGTTTTATAAAAAATTGACGTATTTTAATTTCCTCTTCGATAGCATCACTTGCATAAACTACAAGTTCTCTTAATTGTCATCTCCCAGTCTTTCCATATTCTCTTAATTCTCATAGATTTCTTCTGTGTGTGCGAGAAAATATGCCAGAAATTTCTCTCTTGTTCAACATCGCTCCAGCACAAAACACCTAGTGGGGAGGAGGTGATTATGGCAACGACACCTAAGCACCTAACTGAACTTGTTAACTACTTCTCCACACACACACAAATTATTGCTGGGGACTCAACAAGTCAGCCAGTCAGTCACAGAGACACGGTTTCTAAGATCAATTGATCTTTCCAAAAAAGCGGCTGCCGCGCGAAGAAGACAAAAACAGACGAAGTACCAAAAAAAAAAAACAAAAATAATAAACGGCAAAACGCACGACTACCTCGAATATTTTAGAGACAGGCAGACAAATAAACGGTTGATCGGTCGGAAGATTGCTTGGTCTGTTACCACTCCCCGCCACAGCCGCACTCACGAAAAAGTGTTGTTATTTGGATTTCTGTTTATTGTTTTGAAGTTGTTTGTTTTTTTTTGTGTTTTATATTTTGAGAATATTTAAATTGTCGTATTTTACTTTTTAAACCCTAATTCGTTTCGTATAACTCTTTAATTAAGTCTCGATTTGATGTGTGCGTGATTTTGTTTTAATTCGAGACGACTTCGAGCCGATTGTTTGCGCCCCAACTGACAACGACGACGGGTTAGAAAGAAATTGTGAGAGACCGATAGCAGCAGCAGCAGCAATAGGACGGTAGACGACAACAGTCAATAAATAAAATAAAACATACCAAAAAATACATATTTTTAATAAATAAAACTTCGACACCTAAGATAACAAACCAAAATCCAAAGAAAGCTAATTAGACAATTCTCAAGTCCAGACTAGGAAATATATTTCGGAAATCAAGGTAATACCTATTTGCCGCTGCCAAGCAAATCTCATTGCAATAAATAAACATTTATAATTCAGTGTTTTTATTTTTATTGCAGTCTGGTGATACAAACGAAAACCAGCAACAACAATACACACTTAAAATAGACTAATAACAAAGCAGATCTAAGGTTACATGCTCACACGTAGTTCAACTGAATTGAAACGCAATCACAAAAAAGTAAAGAAAAAATAAAAAAATAGCAAAATAAACGACCAACCGACCGAACGAGCCAGCAGGCGAACGGGCGAGCAGTCAGGCAACATTATCTCCAAACACACAACCACATTCAGCATCCCGCTGCCCTCGAAAAACAAAATAACAAACAAAAATAAATAAACCCCAACACATAAAGACCAGCTCAGCCATAGCCAGGCGGCGGCCGTAGACAAAAAGTTGTAACGCTCCAAAGCAGAACAAACAGAAATTGTAACCGAAGCATAACCGTTTATATTTACGTCGTCGTCGTCGTCTTTGGAGATTCATTCCAAAATAAAAATTGCAATCAGAGGAGAACAGCTTCTTAATCGCCATATAACTCAAACATCATTTCGCGCTCATGCCTTCACCACCGTCCACCCCGCGTATACGCAATACACCGCCATTCCCGCCGGCACCAAAATTAGCACGAGCCAAATTGAAATCCTCTTCGCTGGATCATGAAATATTCTTGACCACAACACACAGCAGCCGACCCAAACATCATCGGCCGTTACAGACTAGCACCTCGGTGGAATGGCATCATCAGCATCAAGCGGCACTGACCATACCGCGTACTGGATCAACATCATCTCTGGCCAGCAGTACATTCCAATACCCGTTGGCGGGCGGTAGTAATTATCACGATTTTAAAAATGAAATTATCAATCAGGTGAGTCTATAGCCAAGCAACGTGCTTCAATAATTATTTGAGTACAACTGGGGGGAACATTGCAAGCAAAGTCCAAATTGCGGTTAAAAATCACAATTTCAGGAAAATCCGAGGTATTTCTATATGGGTCATGCACAGTTCTTACGCACCAGTGTGAATCGTTATTTTCGATTTTTACTTTATGATATCAAAAAAAAATGTAAAAATAGTATACAGGGTGAGATAAAAAAACTGCAACAAAGTCAAACGTCATAATTTATACATTTTATACCCTCCAGGGTATATTAAGTTTGTCATTCCCTTTGTAACACCTCGAAATACACATTTTAGACCCCACAAAGTATATATATTCTTGATCAGCATAAAATTCTATGTCGATTTAGAGATGTCCGTCCGTCTGTGGAAATCACTCTAGCTTCCGAACGAATTGAAGTAGATTGATAAAATTATGCTATAATGTATGTTATGTCTGCAGGACGATTGGGCCATGAGCCATGTAGGTCCACGTTTTGGTATAGCCCACGTATAACGGTGGGCCCACGTATAACGGTGATTTTAGCGACATTATTCACCGGAATAGTTTCAAATTTGGTATTTGAAGTTCGTAATGGATACTACAGCCTATGACAGAAAATTGTCTGTGCATGTCCACGTCTTCGTATAGCCCCCATATAACGGGACCTCCCGATATTCAGTATTTGGATGATTTTAGGGACATTTTGCCCCAGAATTATTTCAAATTTGATATTTGAAATTCGTAATGGATACTACAGACTACGACAGAAAATTTTCTGTACAGGTCCACGTCTTCGTATAGCCCCGACATTATAACCGTTTTTTTTTTTTTTTAATTTCGCATTTGAATATTGTAATGGCTTATGACAAATGTTACCTACGCAAGTTCATGTCGTCGTATAGACCCTAATATAATAGCTACATTCGGTATTTTTAAGACTTTAACAGAATTTTAAACGGATTTTTTTTGTTTTTGAGAATTGTCAAATTCGTTCCAAATGGTGGAGGGTATTCAAAGTTCGGCCCGTCCGAACTTACAGCCTTTTTACTTGTTTTTTTTAATTTTATTGTATGAAAGCAAAAAATGTCGGAAATGACATCATATTTTAGAATAACTTTAGATTTATTCGAATTGGTCACCTTTGGCACGAATTATGCCCTTCAAACGGCCAATGAAACCGTCACACGCTCCCCGAATGTTGCTCTGCAGTATGTGATCGACACTTTGGTATTTTTTAGTACCAACCTTTCTTTCCAAAATACTCCAGACACAATAGTCCAACGGATTGGTATCCGGAGATTTGGGTGGCCATTGTGCGCTGGGAATGAAGCGAGGAACTTCATTTTGTAACCATTCTTGGGTGGCGTGTGCTGAGTGCAATGGTGCTGAGTCCTGTTGGAAAGTCCAAGTTCTGCGGCCAAAATGTTTGCGTGCCCAAGGCTTTAATACACCCTCCAGAATATTTTCCATGTGCCACGATCGATTAATACGAGCGAATAGTGACCATCGGCTGTTATGGCGGCCCACACAATCGCCATGGCCGGCGCTTGAGTTCTGGTGGCCAACCGAAGGTGCACATTTTCACCTGACCTCTTTGGCATGTAAACACGATCATTTTGTTTGTTTACAAACTGCTGGACAACGAATGTTTTCTCATCGGAGACCACCAAACCATATTCGGCAGTTCTTTAGTTCTTTTGAGTCTTTTTTCTTTCCGTTGCGGTGTAAGTTCTTGCACTTTTTGGAATTTCGATGGCTTTACCCCGAGCTCATTTTTCGATATTTTCCGAATGGAATATTATGATATGTTCAGCGATATGTTCAGCTCACCAGCAATTTTTCAGCCACTGCGACGCGGGTTTCGATCAAGTCGCTTCTTTACTTTTCGAAGCATATCTGCTGATGTTGCTGTTTTCTTCCGTCCACTTCCTTGACGACATCATCTCAATCGGATAAAAAATGCGACCTGCAAAAAACATGGACAGACGGACGGACTGACATGCATAAATCGACTCAGAAAGTGATTTTATGAAGATCCTCAAAAGTAACTAAGGGTTTAATTCGCTTCCTTCTCCATGTTACAAACAAATGCACAAAGACATAATACCATTACCCCCATGTGGTGTTGGGTATGCAAATATAAAGGATATTTTTATCCATTTTCCTTTCCACTATAACATTTTCATTAAATTTAGTTTGATTTTCCAACCGATTTGGCTATAATTTTAGGTTTTCTTTTGGAGAAGAGTGTGAGAATAAATAAAACGCTTTTTTGACAGGTTTTAGTCATCTGTTGCTTCTTCGTATAGAAACAAAGGAGTTTTAGGTTGACTTAGTTCGATTTTGGTCCTACGCTCCTTTGTTATTTTCCGAAGAAGCCAGTCGATGGCGTTTTATGTATTCTTACCTTAAGAAGTTTGACCGGGTCTAGCTCAATGCCGGTTCAAAAAAAAACTTTGATAGGCTATCGTTGCTTTAGTCGAGTTTTCAAAGAGTATAACCCTAGCTGTAATCGTTATGAAGCTTTAATCGTGGATTTAAATCTAGAACGAATCTTATCTTCAGAAAAATCAAATACGACCTGTATTTTTATATACACATATTTTTACCCTCCCAACTTAATGTCTAAAAATCACATCTATGAATTGATCACTGGACGAAAATTATATAAATAAAACTGAACTTATTCACCCACCACAAAAACTGATAAGACCACTGGCGACCAACCAACCGACCTGTCGCTTATTGTTAGCATTTCGCACATAACAAATTTGTTTTATACATATGTATGTATGTATGTATGTAGTTTCATTTGATTTTCATGTACAAATTGTGTACTTAGAGAACTTAGTGGGTGTTTATGATGGGTTTATTCGAGGGGAATTGCTGGCACATTCCGTTTTTTTCATACTCAATTAAGCGCCCCTCTCGGCACTGTTTACAGTAAATTTATCAGGGAATAAACTAAAATAAATTTCTTCATTGTAGTCATAAATATTGGTCATTCCATTGAATAAAACCATGGAGGAAGGCCCCATGGGGTCGTTAAACGATTACCTAGAGCATGAGATAAAAAGTGGCACTCAAGATTATCTTTTTCCAGATTTAGAAAAGTTGTTTACAGCCTCCATGGAAAAATGATTTATAAAAAACCTCCGACAAGATAACTAGAGTGTCATCATTCCAAAAAAAATATAGTTTGGAAGCCCTTAATGTTTTCATAATATAATCAACCTTAAATCTTCAGTTCCAAAATTAGCCGTTTTTTCGATTTCTTCCTTAGCCGCAAAACGTGGTTTTGCAATTTATTATTATTTTGAATATTTTGTCTTTGAATGTTTTTGTCTTGTTCTCTTCGCACCATGGGACTAAAGGTCGGTCAGTCAGCAACAAATGAAAAATTGCAACTCATACACATATGTCCATACACATATAGAAAATCTATGAGTACCCGGTATACAATTCAATTGTCATTTTTAAAATCCAGCTCTCCTCTTCTAACAACAAAAACATGACAAATGTTTTGCGATGCTCCCTTCCTCCCTCCCTCCAGTTTGATACATTTATTAACCTTATCTGTTTGTATTATGATCACAGCAATTACGTTTCATTCCTGGAACAGCTTATAGATCAATCAATTGGCCAAACGAAAGCGAAACGAAACCAAACAAAATGTTTCACAAATAAATTTCGAATTTGAAGTTTGCACTAATTTATTATAGAAATATATAACATTTACCGCGTGAATTTACACTCGGAGAAAAAAATGGGAATTTGTATAAAATCTTGAAATTAAGGATTCTTGGTTGAATTTTATAATAAAGAAAGCTTTGCTCAAGGCCTACATAGGATCTGCCAAGAAGACAACTTTTGACAAAATTTGACAATATACTTGGTAGTCTTTGAACTATTGTGATTTGCCTATCTTTGAATTTCAAATCTTTTGACAGGATTCTTAGTTATCAGATGGGTTTACTGGCCAACCTTATATTGGCCCATGGCATCGCTATACTAGCTGAATTATATGGCAGGTTTTCTTGGATTTTATATTTGTCATTTATTTATAGGTTATACATTATATACTTTATAGCTACAGTATAAAATAGATTAATAAATGAACATTTTCCTTTGCCATAGGGCTTACAATGTAGTAGACTATTGAAATAGTTAAAAGTTTAACAAGTAAACAAATTAAGTTCCTGCCGGGCCGAACTTTTAATACCCTCTATCTTTGGGTGAAGAAAAATTTTTTATCTGAATGCAAACGTGTTCTACTTCAAACTACAAATACCAGTAAGACCGTTTGGATAATGCTGTTAAACTTTTCAAAAAATCATAAAGTGGGTGAGGCTGTTGTATGGGGGCCATATCAAAACGGGAACCTCTATAGATAATTTTATACTTCAAGGATTGCCATCCTACCACATCTTTATAACAAATGTGAAAACATTTCGTGGGTAAATGTAACTAGGATTATCAAAATACCGAATATCGGTGGGTATCGTTATATGTGCGCTATAGGAAAACGTAAATCTAAATATTCAATGTTCTTCTGCCGCTAGAACCCATTATGAACTACAAAGCCCTTTAATTTATCTTTTTCGTGAATGATGATCAATTGATTGATTATTATGCTTAGGTTCATTATGTTGGCCTTGAAATTTGAATGACGATCAGGATCTGCTTTTTACTACTCGGAGATCGGATTCAAAGTCATATGCTGATATTGAAATCCAGACGTTCTCAGAAAATAATCGATGTGTGATTTTCCTTGCTGGTTAGGTCCCGTCGGATTCAACAGGTGCCGTTTCTAATGCTGTCGCTTGACCAGATTGCGGAAGGAATTATCCATTATTTCTCCGGACTGATGACTACCCTGTATATGGCCTTCCAAGAACTAAGCTTTTTGTGTGTTATCCAAGGTAACCGCAACATCATTGGTTATGATTCCTTTTATAGGCTTCAGTTATGCTAGGCCAGCGTC